CCCCCCCCCGACTTCTCCCCAGAGCTAGCTAGCGTGCTGTCGGAGAGATCGCGCGATATGAAATCTAGTGCAGCTTCTGCGTATGTTGTACCCATTGGACGCATCGAGACGATACCGTCGGGAATAGATGATTTAAGCTTGCTTGTGAACTCGCGCGAGAGCACGATCTCGTTCGCACAAAAAAACGATCGATGACACTGTTCCGTTCTCTTTCGCAGCCGAGGAGCAATATCCTGAGCAGATGGCTGGAGGAGGAAGAGGAGGAGGAGGAGGAAGCGGCGGACGACGAGCGGCAGTGATGTTGCAAGGACAATAGCGCATTTTTCATAAGGACTCCTATGTATCCACCCGTTCCCGTCTCGTCACGACGCAAACGACCGCGTTAACGAAAGAAAAAAAAAAAGAAAACAAATATATATGTATATATACATATATATATATACATGCCAAAAAATAATCATCTTGCCATCAAGTGTTGTAAATATGTGTACTTACAGTGTCTAGCGTCCGCAGTGCGTGTACATAAGTATAATTAGAGCTTACTGCGCCCATTACGATCGTATCCGACGACGTATCGTCGGCTCACGCGGTTTACCTGTAAACGTCACACACGAGAGTATACGACGATCGACCGGCGATCGACACTTCCGGCACCAAGTGCGCGACAACTCGCCTGCCCACTCGGGAATGAACAGAGAGAGAGTTCCGGGAAAGTTCGCGGTCCTCGTCGGAGCCGCCGGAGACGACCACCACGGAGACAAGACGGAACAAGCAGACACGAGAACGTCGTAAGAGAGAGAGAGAGAGAGAGAGAGAGAGAGAGAGAGAGAAAGAGAGGAAGAGAGGGAGGGGAAGAAGTTTAGGTGCCAGGAAAGTAATTACGAAGACGCAAAGTGAAGTGTGCAGGAAGGACATTTTGTGGACGAGCGTGAAGGTTTCGTGGTGCGAGTTGGGAAGAAGAGGCGCGTTTGCTCACGGAGTTATCAAGTGGCCGAGCACTCGAACGCTCGGTATATCCACGAGTGAACGGTATTTGTGGCAGGGACAAGCCCAAGAACTCCCCGGGCGGACTCGACGAAACGCGATGACATTCGCAGGACGAGGGGCAGAGAGAATCGCATTGCGCCAATGGATTAACTCTCTGGATTAACTCTCAGTCTCGCGGTTGAACTCGCGCTCCGAAAAGAAAAAAGACGGAAAATTCCCTTTTCACGCGAACATTAGCACGAACGAGCGAGCCGACTCGCTCGGGACATGAAACATATCGTTACACCTTGTATACACGGAGGAAATATGTGGTAGTAAAAGTCACATTAAAATAACCTTGACTGAAATTGTAGTATAAATTACTAGAGAAATAGCAAGTCTGACGACCTACCGAATATACGATAGAAAACAACATTCAAGTAATTACAATAATTTTGTTGGAAAGTGTCAAACTTGCGTAATATTTTTAAATAAATAAATGCATAGTAATTTCGGTCATAATTCTAGATCCAAGATTACAGTAATTTTGTTGTACAAGTCATGTTGAAATAAATTTTTTACAATGTTTTCCATAAAGCTGAACTGTACAGAAAAATTACAGTTTACATTAATATAGAAATAGTAAAACTGTAACAAAGCAAATATACGATATAAAAAAAAATCAAGTGAAATAAAGTACAAATTCCCGAACACGTACTTAATCCTGGACATTCTTATTGTTTGGATCTTTTTAAATACGAATATTTAAACTTAACATAGAGTATATGTATATCTTAACATAGAGTATATGTATATCTTAATATAGAGTGTATGTATACACTCAATATTTGTATACTATATATTTTATGTTGAGAATTTAAATATACTTATATTTAAAGACCAAAACAATAAGAATATCCAGAATTAAGTACATGTCTGGGCACTGGTACATTTTTACTTTAATTACAATAATCTTGTTAGAAAGGTCAAACATTTTTAAATAAGTATATAGTAACTTCAATCATAACTTTGTATGGTCCAAGATTACAAGATTTGTAACTTACAAATTAATTTAAGACATTTTATGTAATTTAAGATTATAACATTTGTAAAGAGATTACAAGATTTGTTGCAGTTTTTACTGCAATATTTTCTCCGTGTATACAAGCGTCTCGGAAAATTCTCAATCGTACACTCTCGGAATCTCGTGTCGCGGGATCAGGTCGCCCAAGCTCAAGAGTTAATCCCTACGTCACACATGTCAGGCATATATATATATATATATATATATATATATATATATATATATATATATAT